AAAAAAAAAAAAAAAAAAAACTTCTGTTGAAACTTAAATTTTGGTATTATGATGTGTGTTTGCAGACTCAAATTATGATGGAACAAATGGAAGAGCTTCGTAGAAAGGTAGATTAAATTTATCAATTATTAGCAAACCAAAATATATATTCATGTAATTGTTACTCATTAAATATTTCAAATATGATTTATATGTTGAATAAAAAAAATAAATAAATTCTTGATGTATATTTGCAGGAGCGCCAACTTGGAGACATGAACAAGCAGCTCAAGCTCAGAGTTTCACTAGAAATGTCAACGGTACTATTAAACATTAATTAATCACTTAATATATATTATGAAAAAAAAATTACAAATACTAAAAACATATATATATTTTTTAACTAGCCAAGATTTATGTATTGAACATTTATATATATACATGTACAGATTGAAACTGAAGGGCAAAGCATGAGGACAACAACACTCCCTTCCCTGTGGAATGGAGGCAATTTTCCGAATCAAGTCGAAATCGAGCCGGAACCCATTTTGCAAATAGGGTATAAAATTTAAATTTGCTACAAAAAAAAAAAAAATTAATATATAGGAAGAAGAATATAAATAAATAAATAAATAAAAGTGATGATTTTGTACAGGTATCAACAGTATAATAACATTGGAGAAGGTTCATCTGCTGGTGCAAGAAACATGGCTGTTGACCAAAGTAATTTCTTTCAGGGGTGGACTCTTTGACCACAACCTCTCTACAATGTTTAATCCAAATTTCTATAAATATTTGTTCACTCTTTTAATTTGGTGGTTTTATATGGCTGTGTTTTTTATTTTATTTTTATTTTTTTCCCTTTTTTATCATGTGTTAATTTGGAGATAAATGACATTTGGTGGCTTTATGTGACATGGTGATGTGAAAAAATTGATCAGCTAATATGGATTTATTGGTCTCTTTTATAGTCTTTTGCCTATAAAAACCATAGAATATTAATATCCAAACTGAAAAGTTGGAAAATAAATATTGATATCCAAAATAAATAAGGGAAATACATATTCATATCTATGTATAATTGGCAATTTTTTTTTTTTTTTGGGTACACAATTTGCTTATATCTAGAAAAGTACACCAAATTATCATTAATTATAACGGACGAGATAAAATTAATTTTTTTTATTCGAACCGATACTAGTGCAGTCCATCGACTAATTAAGTCCAATGACATACCGTTGAATTTTTCTCGTCGAGATTATTTTACCCACAAATTTTCGGTAAAATCCAAGTTCATATGTTTTTTGGATAATTGTTGATTGATTTTGTGCCTAATGAATATGGAGTGTCGGTAGCAGAAATTCTTTTTTTTCTTGCCAAAAATAAAAATAAAAAATAATAATAACTCTGTTTTTTAGAGTCTTTTGACGGGTTTTTAATAAACAGAACAAGAAATAATTCAAGTTTTTGGCCTTTTGCAGTGTTTATGAAAGTGGTACCAATAACTTTGAGAAATATCAAAACCGGCTCCTTTTGTAATTAAGGTTAATTATATGGTACAGTTTGTAATAATACTTTTCTTTTCAAGTTTCAAATTCTCTGGTTGGGATTTTTTTGATTCGGGTTCAACTTCAAGTTGCTGGTGCTGACGTCATTAAGGCGGTCTCTAGTGAATAAGACTAATTTTGAGGGGTTAATTTGTGATTATCCTGAAGATTTGGTGAAGAAGTGAATGACAAATAAAGTGAGGAGGAAATTACATTCTTGACCTGGGGAGAAGATTATTGTGGCAACAACGTTGTTTTGGAGAAGCTTTATCACCCAAATCTCAAGTTTTCTTATTATTACTGATGGTGTTGAAGGCTGCAGATATTACACTAAGGTCCATAATTTTTTCCAATTTTCATGCTTGTTAATTAGTGTTTTTCTTAACCATAGTATTTAATTCCTTGACAAAATTGCAATGATGCCCTTAAAATCTAGCATAGTTACTAGTCAAGCATTTCTAAAGCTATCACAAGTAGAACTGTTAAACAAAACGATCCGCTCGTTATCTTAGTTCGAGCTTGTTTAGTTAACGTGAAAAACCAAGCTCAACATATGAAAGCTCAAAAATAAGGTATTAGTAGCCCTCCAGAATTAAATTTTCACCAAACATAAGATCCAAAAACTGAACATATTCAAACTTAAAGGACCATAAATTTGGAATAAAAAATTCACCAAAATTTACAATGTACCATCACAATTTTTTCCATCATTTTTAACATAACTAATAAAATATCCCATCAAAGTCAATCAAGAAACAATCTCTTGAAACAACATTGCATAGAGCAAATTCATCAACTTGAGGACACACAATATGCATTATTTTTTGCAGACTTTGAAAATTATGAAAACTGCTCAGAGACAGAGACTGTAGAATTAAACTGCCTGAATTTTGTGAGAAGTAATTAATCTTTTCACGGTTTTCATTTCGGGAAGGTACGTTTGTTCCTCATCTCGGGCAGGCCAATGAATAAATCGGTCTCCACATCCGATATTTCGCTGATTTCTGCAGAAGTCCCGATTGCCCTCTCGTCCTTTGATTCTCTTCTTTGTGTTTCGAACCCGAACTAGGTAAACGCGTTAAGAAAGTTTAGTTATTTATTCTTTTAGTCTTGTATGACTATTAGAAAGGAAGAGAAGTAGAAATGTATGCAAAGAGTGGCAAATGTAAAAAACTATTCACCTTGTCACAAAGCAAGGCATTTTCAGCAGCTAAAGCTCTTTCCTGGGTTTTTAAAAACCGAACCGCATTATAAGAGCAATCACGATTATAACAACATACGCATGACACAATTATCTGCATTTACTAATAATAAAGTTCGAAACTTTCCTCTGACTCTATATCGTTCATTCATCGCGCTTCGAAATCTTAATCCCATCAGAATTATATGCATTTCATGCAACTCAAAAGTGAAGTACGTACTCCAAGTGTAGAAGCATAAACATTTTTTTTTTTTCGACGAATAAAGAATTTACCTTTTCTTTCAATTGATCAATCTGCTGCCGGTAAACTAGCATCTGCATGGCCGCCAAACGAAAACAAAATATCACGAAGTAGATGAGAAGTTAGAGAAAAATTATATATGAGATCCCATGAAAATAAAATGCATTAGAAAATAAAGATTGGTTCCTTTTTTTTTCTTTCATTCACATTAACTCAAGTGAAAATCGGAAGATCAAAAGTTTTCTACCTTCACTCAAATTTGAAAAGATCGAATACAAATCAAGAAAAGCAAGGAAAAAAACAAAACTTTATACCTTTCTTGCGCGTATGACATTAACACTACGCTCTAACTGCCGTTCTAGCTGCTGCAGTTCTTCAATGGAGCATGTTCCCAAACCTTCTCCAAGCAATTTCCTATAGGAGAAAAAAACAAAAGAAAAAAAAAAAACTCATTTTGTAATTAAAAGTAACAACCTAAATGGAACTATATATGTTCATTTTGTAATGAATCAACAAATGATCAATATGGAATAGTTCATTTTGTCCAAGCTTCAAGTTGCTTCCAATAATAAGCTATTTCATATTCTCCCTCCACAATTATTTTTCAAAATTTTATCCAATGGTTATCCAATTTTTCCATTCAAAGCATTATTTGGTTCATTTTCATGTCGATATTTTTCAAGAAAACCAAAAATGCAAAATGTACAAACCGCTTAGATGCTTCAAGTTGCTCGATCCTTTTCATCATACTTGCTGCTTCATGCTTTAAGTGCTGCAATATTTCAAAAAAGAAAGGTGAAAAATCAAGGATTTAATGGGTGAAAGCCAAAATGATCAGGACTTATAAAGTTAAACAGAACATATTTAAACAACAATATTATCGAATATTCATCATCATAGAACTAATTACCTGTGTGTTTTGTTCCACTGAAAGGTTGCTGGCTTGAATCTCTTTCGCA